TGGACAGAGGTAGAGTATAATGCTAAGCAAAATAAGTCAGAGAAAGACAAATACCATATGATCTCACATGTATGTGGAATTTAAGAAACAAATGAGCAAAGGAAAAAAAAAAAATGAGACAAACCAAGAAACAGACTCTTAACTAAAGGTTGCCAGAGGGGAGATGCGTAGAGGGATGGGTGATATAGATGATTAAGGAGTAGAATTACCATGATGGAAAAAAAAGATTAAAAAAATCTCAGAACTGAATCTGATACTCTTACATAGCAACTATCTTAACTCATACATATTGGTATGTATTCTTTTAGCTAACATTATTTACTATCACTTGCCACCCAGATAAGTGTCTTAAATATATTCCATTTAATCTTCAAAATTTCTAATTTTATAGATGAAGAAATTGAAAGGTTATATGATTTGTCTGATGCTACCAAACCAGTAAGAAACAGAGACCTATTCAAACTCTAATCCAAGTTTCAAGTGTAAACTCATCTCCTCGCTTTTAATCTCCTTCATAACCTTGTTTTTCCCTTTGTATTTTTTCTTAAGTAATCTCTATGCCCAACGTGGGGCTCAAACTCATGACCTCAGGATCAAGCGTCTCATGCTCTACCAACTGAGCCAGCCAGGTGCCCCGTCTGTACTTTATCCCTTGTATAAGCCATCTCATCTTTATTGGAAAAATGTGAAGAATGAAAAATGAAAGAATAACATATGTAAATGAATTAGTGTTTTATTATCTTACCTGCTGCCCTAGGATACTGATTGTCCTAGTTGACTGCCCTATCTTCCTGAAGGAAGGAGACTGGATCGGTTGATACAAAGATCATTTACAGTTCTGAAGTTTGATGCTCCATGTTGCTTAGAAGTTATTTTACTTTTCTTTAAATGTGACACTCTAACTGTGCTCCTGAGTCCACTATTCTATAAATGTGGTAACTCCTAGGATGAGGCTCACTAAGGGAAAAGCCTGCACTATAAATCCTGAAGAGAAGCTCAGAAGCCCAATGAAATTCCATTAAGACCTCAGAAACAATGTCTATATATACATTTACTAAAAGATAAGTCAGTTTCCAGCCAGGGTGAGAAGTTTCTTATACAACTATAAAAACAATGCGTAGCTGGAAGGCATACATAAACTTACTAACAGTCCTAACTCAAGTAAATATTATTAACTATCTTACATTTACCTATTTTCAGAATTGGCAAACTCGTAACCCTTGGGTAGAATCTTACCTGTAGACATTTTCTTTGAACCTGACATTTGAATTCATTGCCAACATTTATGATTCAGATTTCACTTTCTAAAAAATATGTAGATTTTGGGGTATTTGGGAATCCTAGGCCCACATTTCCATCCAACAACAGGACTGAGCTAAATAGTAGCTGCCCTCTTTATCTTGGGCATATAACTGTAGAGTACCTACTACATTTCTGGCACAGGGTATAGAACATTATACAAAATTTAAAACAATTCATTGCCCTCATAGAGCTTACTTTCTTGTATGCTCATCACTTTACCACAGCCAGCCTTTTCCCTCTCTACACTCTATAGATCTTTGCATTTTCTGCCAATATCTTACCTTTCTCTGAAAATGCCATAGTCTCCAATAGGAACCTCATGAGAACAAGTCCAAAAATGGGTTATTTCCAGAGATATTTTTAAAAGGATTGGATCTTATGCAGTGACCTAACAGCTCCTTTATCTTTCTTCTTGCTATTCCCCAAGAAATAAAATCATTGCTGCTTTGTAAAACATTTTTAGTGACATATGTAGTAATAGTCAGGTTTAAGATAATGCTGTATTTGTACTAGTCTAAGAAAAGTTTATGATTTACTACTTACAGTAAATAAAGCTGTTTAAAAACAAAATACTTACAAAAAGGCATACTGTCATCTATTGAGCAAGTTTGCAATTGACTGCTCCAATATGTAAGAAACCTTAGGATCTTCTAATTCAGCTTTTACAAATAAAAAGACCAAAAGTAGTAGCTGCCGTCTGGAAAGAAATAAATTTGAGCCCCTACCTGAGTCCTTGACCAAAATAAATTCCAGAAGGATCAAAGATTTAATTAGATATTTTTTAAAAGCAAGCAAGCAGATAATTTTTATAATCTTTTGAGTGGAAAAGGCCTCTCAAAACCACTAAAGATTTAATAAAATTGTCTACATAAATCTTTGCATAAAGAAAACATCATAAACTCAAAAGGAAATTGACAAGGAGAAAAATATTTACAATGCAAGTCACAAAGGGTCACTTTCCTTAATCTCCACAATTACTAATACAGAGACCCAGGACACAGAAGACCACAGAAAACAAATGGCTCTTAAACATAAAAATATGCTCAACTTTTAATAGGAGGAACCATTTTTTTATAAATCAAAATAGCAAAGATTAAAAAGTTTGATAACTATTATGTTGCTGAGATGAGGAAATAAGACACTCTATAACATTCATTGCTGTGCGTTATGTGTTACTACAACTTCTATTGACAGCAATTTTGGCAGGGTTTAATAAGTTAACAAAACATAAGAGGTTTCCAGCATATACCAAGTACAGTTGACCCTTGAACAAAGTAGGTTTGAACTGTGCACTGTCCATTTACACGTGGATTTTTTACAGTACTGTAAATGTATTTTCTCTTGGGATTTTCTAACACATTTTTTCTAGCTTACTTTAAAAATACAATATAAAATACATATAACATGCAATGTGTTGATTGACCATATTAATAATACCAGTTTAGGTTCTCATCAACAGGCTATTAGTAAAGTTTTTGGGAGGTCATAAGTTATATGCAGATTTTCAACAGTGTGAGGGGCAGGGTTTAGCTCCCATAACCCCCATGTTGTTCCAAGGGTCAACTGTACAGGTCTTAATGGTTATAATCATCAAATCTTAAAATGCATAAACTTTTTGTTATGATTTTTTGAAATCACATACAAGGATATTCATGGAAATATTGTCCATAAAAAAATACAACTACTTTTTGGGAATGGATTAAATTATGATCTATCCAATAGGATACTATGCAGCCAGCTATTGAAAGCGTCAGCTGTGTTGTACTGTACTGATAGAACATTCTCTAAAATGATGAGAATAAGGGACAGATCATTACATAAAGCTTCCATTTGTGTATATGATGCTTTGTGCTCAAGTCTCTCTTGAAGGATAAATCATATTATGGTGGTTGTCTCCTGGGAGAACCAGGTAGCTGGGAATCAAAAAAAGACAGACTACCCACCACATAGCTCTTTTACATTTTGTATCACTAAGATATGACATAGGTCTTAAAAGAAAAAAAAAGGGAGTTTTCATAAACACTTCCATGTACCAGCTGGTCTGGAATGGAACCTAATTCTTACCCTATTTGCTTCCAACAGAACCACTCCTTAAAGTAACCTAGTCTTGAAAATTTACTGATACAATCTTTCAGAGATTTGAAGTCTTGATCTACACTTAAAAATATCAAACATGACTCATCCTAAATCCTGAACTTATTCCAGAGCAACTCTTAAGAATGAGTCGTTCTCAGCTTAGACACAAAAAGCATTTTATATAAAATAACAGAGTTAAAGCAGTCACAAAAACTCCCAAAAAATTGACAAATCTGATCGGTCTGCCTCATGGGTCTTAAAATTTATAGATTTAGAAATCCTGAAGGAAACAAGACTTTTACCCTATTTCAACTATTTAAAATCTCTTTATGCATGTAGTGTTTATAGTTTTAACTCTCTCCTTTAACATTAAAACGCTCTGAAGTGGGTACTGACCTCATATGACAAATGGGGAGATATAATGTCAAAAATAAAGTTCATTAAGCTAGTATTTATAGAGTAGGGGAACTGGGATCCAGACCTAGGTTATGCCTCTAAAATACACTACCCTAATTTCTGGCACTATTAAGCCACTTAACAAACCAGAAATTATTTTTTAAAATATAAATTTGTTTGCATTTTGAGCATCAAAAGCTCCAAAATGTGCTACTGGTATAAGATTAAGAAGGCAGTCAGAAGTCTACAGATTTTTGAGTCTATTTGCTCTGGTAATTACAGTAATACATCACTTCCATTTAACACAACTTTGGTATTTCCTGTTTAATGATATAATCCTTACCAAAAACTTACTCAAGTATGGCATAAGGCAGATAACCAAACTCCCATGGTTGGGTAATAAGAATTTGACTATTTTAAAACTTGATAGGTAAACAGGATTGTCAGGTTTAGCTATAAAACAATCAACAAATAGGTTTCTTCTGTCACCACTTGGCCAAAAGAGGTTGACTTTCACTAGAAGCCTCTGATAACTGTTCAAAATAATAATCTTAATTCAAATAGAAGGAACTGCTCCTTTAAAGGAGCATTTCTCAAATTAACTGCTTTCCCCAATAAATGTAAATCCTAGTGAAATTTAGTCATGGCAGATCACAATAACCACTTCAAGTGCTTTCTTAAGGTTACCCAAAATTCTAAAGCTTAAAACCACAAAATAATTTTTAAAGATATAACCCAAAATTCATTCTGGTATTCTATTTTGAACTAGTTCGTAATCAACAGAAAATTTAACCTGTTACTAAAGATGTTTTTTAAAAATTTATGTTTTTAGGTATATACTCACCGTATTAGCTCCTTTGCCTCATATTAATATTAAAGAGAAAGTTTCCCTAAAGACAGTCAGTTAAAAAAAAACAAAACAAACCCAAGGGACAAGTTAGTAATAAATGAATAGCAATGTCAAGAAAAAAAAAACTTCATTTTGTAAAACTGCACCAACTTTAGAAGTTCAAAAAATTCCAGATCTATTTCTTAAAGAATACTTTGTAAATTAGAATATGGGCATGTTTAACTTTCTTTTAACCAAACATTTTACTAAATCAACTGTGTCTGACTGAGAACTATTAGGCAGAAATACAAGAAAAATTTGATGTGGTTTCAGACCTTGAGTATTTTTAAAGTGAAAAGTAACCTAGCACATTAAGACAAAGACAATAGAAATAATATACATAATTTTATTACAAAAATTTTTTTAAAAAACAAAATGCAACATTCTAAAAAACCCAAAATTTACTATTGATACTAATTCCTACAAGTTTGCTGTGCTACAATACACAAGTCAAGAAATTAAGAAAACCATTAAATATTTAGAAACATTCAACATCAGAAGCTTTAAAATCTAACTGTATGTAGTAGCCCCTCAAAAAGCTACAACCTGCATTTTTAAAAAAGTATTTTCTCTACAAAGAATCTTATCAGCTATACAAAAATCTGTACAGTTTTTATACTGAAGCTAATATTGAGCTGCACTTGAATTCACATTCTTAGCAAAACAATTGCCTGAGCACACACGCACACTCCACACATATCGTTACAGGACAGCCATTTATTCTTCATCTTCCTCCTCTTCCTCATCATCTTCATCTTCTTCCTCCTCTTCCTCTTCCTCCTCATCCTCTGGTTCATTCTTCTTCTTTGAACCTGTTGGCCTGCCAGGGCCCTTCTTTCCCGCTTCACTTTTGCCCTTGGCGCGATATGCAGCAATATCCTGAAATATTGTCAAAAAATAAAATCAGCATCCGGTGTCATTACTCAACTGTAAAATCCACTAGGTTGTAAACAATCTAAGATTATTGACCAATAACCCCAATGACTGTCCAAAGAGGTATTTCAGTCTCATAACTCATGAGTCTCCTAACTCAGCCCTGAGAGCATTTGTTCTCTAAGCTTTAAAAAGCTAATGATGTAAAATAGAGGCGTTGTAGTAGATGTCAGAATTTTCACTATCAATGTCCATTTACCTCGTATTGCCCACCCCCTCAAATTTTAGGCACATCTACATAAAGCAAAGTATTTGGCCCTCCATTTCTTAAAACTGAGAGATCCAGAACTACAAATGAGTCTATATGCAGGAATCTACCAAGCTACAAACACTGGTTTCAGTCAAAAGAAAGGAAGTTTCAATTAGCTTACATTCTTAAATGTACAATTTTCACTAGACCTTCTCCAAATAGAGCTGACAACCATAAATACAAGAAGAACTAAACTTCCCAACTCTATAGTTCATACCTATTTCTAACATCCTTGTTTAGAAAGTATCTTGGCTTTAAAAGAGACAACGTACCTTTTCATACTTCTCCTTTAGCTTAGCTGCTTTCTGTTCATATGGTTGTTTATCTTTGGCTGACTGTTCAGACCACATTTCACCCAATTTTTTTGCAGTATCCCCAATGGATAAACCAGGGTGTTCACTTTTGATCTTTGGGCGATGTTCAGAGCAAAACAGGAAGAAAGCAGACCTGAAAGAAAGCAACGAGTTAATAAACTGGAAAAATACGGGGCAGTCTGACTGATTTGAAAATGAACTTACGGAGGCCTTTTAGGAGCATTGGGATCTTTTTTCTTTCCTTTCTTGTCACCTTTGGGAGGAACATAATTTTTCATCTCCCTGTCATAGCGAGCTTTGTCACTTTTTGCCATATCTTCAAATTTTGACTTTTCCTTTGCAGACATGGTCTATGGACATGAAAGGAGGAATTAAAGTACAGCAAAACTACAAACTACATGCATCCAAAAAAGATCAAGATCATCCTTAAGGGCCACATTTTCCTTGGTTAGCAGCATTTCACTTTCAGCAGTCTTGGAAGTAAACGAAAACCCAAGGTTGTCCGCCCCAAACTCAAAACAAAATACCTGGACGAAGTCACCACCGTCGCCAAGTTGAAGGTTACAAGTTACCTACCCCCTTTAAGGTCCTATAGCCTAAAAAAAACACACCTGAAAAACCCTTAGCTCTGTCCGAATTCCGGTCTCACCTTCCATCTCTCCGAACATTTCTTGGAGAATTCGGCGAAATTGACGGAGGAGTCTGGGTGCTTCTTCTTGTGCTCTTCCCGGCAAGTCTGCACGAAGAAGGCGTACGAGGACATCTTGCCCCGCGGCTTGTTGGGGTCTCCTTTACCCATGGTGACAGACGGGGTCTACCTAGTGGGGAGAGGAGCGGTGGGCGGACGCTGGCGGGGCTCAGCTTCCCGCCCAAATACGCGCCCGCCCCCTCTCGCGAGGAAGGCGGCCAGCGCCAGGCTCCCCCGCCAGCCCGCCCCGGGCGGCCGCCTCCGCGCACACACCCTCCTCCCAGCACCCACCACAACAGCCGCGGCCGATCTCCTCACGCGCGATCACCGCGTCGCTCCCGAAGGCCCGAAACGCCACCACCCGCCGCCCGCTCTCCGCCCAGGCCCGGGCTGAGGAAGGGAACGCCAGGGGCGCCGTCGAAACCCTTTTCCTGACAGAAATGTTTCCCCGGCTTCCACGTCGCCGGCCCCAAAGAGTTGTCGCCTCGCGACCGACATTCAAAAAATGACTGAGACCAGGCCCGGACGAGCTTCCCGCCCTCCCGCGGGGCCCCGACCGCCAGCCCTCCACAGTCCCTGGCCCTCGCCGGCCCCGCACCCCAGATTCCGCTCGCCGGGTCGAACCCCGAGAGCCACCGTGCCCGGCCCGGCCAGGAGGCTATGAGGAAAGGGGAAACGGCAGGCCCACGAACACGAAGGGGCTGAAAGGGATTCTTGCCTGGTGGTAGCTTTTTCTCAGAGTCCCGCGGAGAGGCCGGATCCACCAGAGGCGCTTCCTTCCCGGGGCTCCGGCGTGAACTGGTTTATCGCTAACGCAATCCTCAGCCTCTTGTTTTGCAGAGTTCTCCGCGCCACGGCAACTTGACGAGCCGGGACGCAGGCCACACCCCCGCCTCTCTGATTGGCTCTGGTGATTATTCAAACTCCCGTAGGCACCGCCCTGTCGCCACGGAGGCCTCCGATTGGCCGGTGTCTCAGCAGGCCCGTCCCTCCAGCTCCAGCCTAGCAGGTTCGGTGGGTCGCCCAGGTCGTTAACTCCCAGACCCGTTAGAACCGGTCAGGAGAGGAATGTACTGCTCGATCCTGATTGGCGGCGGGAAAAGGGTTTGAAAAATGGCGGGCCTGACGCTGACTGGCTGGAGCGGTAAACGGGGGGAGTGGTTGGCCTGAAAGGGAAAGCCCCGCCAGATTTAAAAAAAATACCAAGTCGGGAAACAGGGTTGTTAAGGGGTCGGAGTCGGCAGGGTTTCCAGATCCTGAGGTAACAAGCCGACCGCCCTACCCCTTCTCTGACCACTGTCCAGGTCGTGTTTCTCTTCCGCCCCAACTCGGCCCTAGAGCGTTGTCTCCTCCTGGGAGCTGTAGTCGCTCTGCCGTGTAACCCTACAGTGTCTCTTCTGTCACGTCCAAAGAATAACAAATGGAGAGAGGCTGAGGAGCTTGCCCTGCGGGCCGATTGCCCAGCTCCGCCCGTTGCCGCTGAGGCTACGATAGAACCCCAGGAAGCCCGGAGGTGGCGGGGAACCTGGGAAGGGCCGCGGGGGGCGCGGGAGGGCAGCTGTTCCCGCCTCTCGTGTGGTGTTACCAAAAGATCTTTCAGTAAGGCGTTTCCCGCCGGTGGAGTTTCCCTCAGAAGGCCCCTCCCTCCCTTCCCCCTTTGTCTCGGGTGTCCAATGCCCGGAGGTAAACAAGGGCGCCCTGGGGTCCCGAAGGGGCAGGGGCGGGTGTTGTTTCCCCTGGCTCCGCCCCCTGCCTCCGCTTCGGGATTCCCCGACCGCCTGGCTGGGCCCTAGCTCACCCTCGCACCAGCGCTGAGCTGAGAAATCGATTCCCGGCCACTGCCCACCTTTGGCTATCTTATTTGTCACCTAGATATTCACTGTCTCGTCCCTCTTATATGAGAATGTAAAAACGTCTTTAAATCAAAGATCCTTTTGAGATCCCCATAAAAGCAATGAATGCTCCCCACCCCCCACTCCCCACTGCTTATATACGCCAAGTGCCTATTGCAGCATTTTACACACTCCTCCAGGCCCAGATTAAGAACCTTCATTTCAGTGTCTAGAAAGAGCGCACCAAAGCTACCCTTAACTGCTTACTAGCATCACAAGCTGCTTTTCCCAAAGCAGCAGGACTTTCACTAACACCTTAGTATGCTATTTCTGTGTTGTATTTAGTTTTGAGGTCTATTTTTTCCCGTGTTGCACTGACAGTTTCAACAGATTTTAATATTCTGTCTTATTTTCTTAGTAAATTCACTGGCATTTGTTAGTTAGACTGTGTGCCTGTTTGGTTTGTCTTCAGTAACTGGTCAATAACTCAAAAACCAGCAGCTCTTTACCTAGATTTACTAATGAAAACAAGGTTTTTAAAAATGATTTTTTCCTTGGAAATGGATATTGGGTGCCCAACGTTGTGCATGTGCTAATGCCACTGAATTTAAAAACAAATGTATAATGTATAATGTTTATTGCTATTAAATAATATAGTATGATTTGTCAAATTTGGATTTGTATGTGCTTTTTAAGCACAGCTGTAACTGTGATCTTATTTGAAAATAGGGTCACTGCAGATGTAATCAGTTAGGAGGAAGTCATATGGAGTTGGGTAGGCCCATAATCCAATGATTGGTGTCCTTACAAATTTATAGGAGAATTTGGACACAGAGAAAGGCACAGAGGTTAGATAATGTGAAAAGACACAGGAAGAAGTTGGCCATCTACAAGGTAAGGAGAGAGGCCTGGAATCTTCAGTCACAGTCCTCAGAAGGAAACAACCCTTCCCACACCAATTTCCATTCTTTACTCCATCACAGTGGAGAAAAGGAAAACATTTCTGTATTTAACCTGCTTTTACGTTGGATGCTAAGACTTCACTCTTAGGCTGTACTTCCTGGCCTCGAAGTAACATCAAAAAGCACAGTGAAGTGATAAAGTTTAAGTGAGATCTAGACAACCGTTGGTTATAGAAAAACCCTTTTTTCTTTTTGGAATAAAAACTATATGCAAAATCTGGTAGCACATACAAAAAATCTAGTACCAAATTTGGTTCTGTAAAGATGGGTTAAATACGTAAGAGGTTTGGTTCACTATTATGAATTACCTGGCATACTGTTATAACTTTATCAGAAAACTAAAATGTCCTATAAAGACATAATACTAAAGGTCTTTCTCTTTTTTAAAAAAAAGATTCATTCATTTGAGAGAGAGAGCGAGAACCAGGGGAGGGGTAGAGGGGAAGGAAGAGAGGAATCCTCAAGCAGATTCCCTGCTAAGCGCGGTACCAACCTAGACACCGATCCCAAGGACCCTGAGATCAAGACTTGAGCTGAAATCAAGAGTCAGAGGCTCAAGAGTGGGATGCTCAACTGACTGAGCCACCCAGGCGCCCCTAAAGGTCTTTCTCTTGTGTCTACTACTGTTATGGTTCTAAATGGGAAAATAAGATTGTTTTCTAAAATTCAACCTTCTTGGGGCACCTGGGTGACTCAGATTGTTAAGGGTCTGCCTTCAGCTCAGGCCATGATCCCAGGGTCCTGGGATAGAGCCCTGCATCGGGCTCCCCATCGGGCTCAGGGAGCCTGCTTCTCCCTCTCCCTCTGCTTCTCCCCCTGCTCATGCTATCTCTGTGTCTCAAATGAATAAATAAAAAAATCTTTTAAAAAAATGAAGTTCAACGTTCTTTTCAGAAACACATCAATTTCATATATTCTAAAAATAATTGTCCAAATTGATTGTCATTAGTATGATGCGTCTTCCTAAAAGATGATGAAAAAGAAAGTGTTTATGTTCTTCATAAAGAATGTATGGGCACCTGGGTGGCCCAGTCTGTTGAACATTGGACTCTTGGTTTCCACTCAGGTCATGATCTCAGGGTCCTGGGATCCAGCCCTGTGTTTGGCTCCGCAATCGCCGGGGAGTCCACTTGAGGATTCTCTCCCTCTGTCCCTCCCCCTCCTCGCTCATGCTCTCTCTCTCTAAAATAAATAAATTAGTCTTTAAAAAAGAAAAGAATATATAAATTAAAATCCAGCAAGGGCTTGTGGTTTTGAACAGTATACTTAATATTTCTAGGCTTTTGATTGACAAACTGTAAAATGAGATTTGGGGGATAATCTCTAAGGTACCATTCAGCTCTTAAATTGTATCATTCTATAATTCTATGAATATGTGTTCATAGTGTGGGAAAATAAATATTTTAACTTTTGCTATTGTTAGGTGGTCAAGAGATTATAATTAAAATTTTAAAAGATAAATAATTCAAGATCTAGGAAATCCTTTGGTTATAAGAATACCAATTACCTGTGAGCCTAGTTATTTCAAAACAGTATTTGTTGAAGTAAGAGTTTATGGCTGTTCAAATGTAATTAATTATATAGACCAAACTTTAGATTACACAGTATTACTCAGTCATCTTAGTCTTCTAGTAAAATGATTTAACCACAGGATCCCCCTAGATGACACCAATATAAAACTTTATTTGCCAAACTTTGCCTAAGTTCAGCTTCTCACAAATTGTAGCAATGTAAATATTTAGCAATAAGCTAATTGTGAGTTGGGACTGAAGTTGTTTCCAAAGTAGATCCCCTATCCAAATTTATAAATAGCTATTCTGTAGATAAACTAGAATTTATCTGCAATGTCAGTCTGACAGGACTGTGTAGAAATGACCTGAGTTGTGCTAACTATTGAAATTCCTACCATTTTTTTCATTCACTTATCCAAAAAATGTGGACTTTTCATAATATCAAACTAGATTGGAAAATCCTGATAAAAGAGAATATTATATATCTTTTTTTGTAAATTCTGTCCCCCCCACTCACAAAGCAGTAAATAATAAACTCAATAATTATTTTTTATTATTTCTTGATTAACTCATATAGTCAGCCAAAATTAAGATTCTCTACACAACGTTAGTTGCATATAAGATAATTCTTGTTCTCTGAAGTTGCCTAGTTAATGTAAAAAACTGAAAACCACTACCTTACACACATATTAGTTTCTCAAAGATTAGTCTTATATTGAAATTTAATATTTTTAGGTTGTTTTTAAAGGCATGAGGGGAAGGATAAGCATACTAGAGTATTATCAAATAGGCACATCCACTTGTGGGGAGACCACTGGTTCTGAGGCCTAACTGTATACCAACTCCAGACATTCAGTGTGGTGTAGTAGTGATGTAGTTAGTGATGTAATTAGTGATGTAGTTCAATAATATATATATATATTATTTTTTTAAGATTTTATTTATTTATGTGACAGAGAGAGACACAGCAAGAGAGGGAACACAAGCAGGGGGAGTGGGAGAGGGAGAAGCAGGCTTCCAGCCGAGCAGGAACCCCGATGCAGGGCTCGATCCCAGGACCCCGGGATCATGACCCGAGCCGAAGGTAGACGCTCAACGACTGAGCCACCCAGGTGCCCCAATAATATATATTTTGTAAGATTTTATTTATTCTTTTGACAGAGAGAGAAAGCACAAGCAGGGGGAGCAGTGGCAGAGGGAGAGAGAAAAGCAGGCTCCCCACTGAGCAGGAAGCCCCCCGATACGGGGCTCAATCCCAGGATCCTGGAATCATGACCTGAGCTGAAGGCAGATGCTTCACTGACTGAGCCACCCAGGCACCCCTCAAAAATATATTTCTGAAGAAATGAAAATGCAGGTTAAGAAAAAACAAAAACCTTTAATTCTACTGATAGCAATTTCAATGAAGAATGGGAAGAAAATAGAGTTAGTCTATTTTTCTTCAAAAAAACTATTGACTATTTTTGTGAATCAATTTGAACTAAATTTACTTAGTTATTTACTTTCTAAAAGCCTCAATCAGGAAAAAAAAAAAAAGGACAAACCGCAAAAATCATGTTCTTAAATACATTGTAGATCTATTGAAGCAATCAGAAAATAATTCAAACTAAAATTCTGGACAGGTATGCTGTGT